GGAAAGAGCATCTATTCCACAGGATGTTTGAAAGTGTCTCCTAAAAGCAACAGAAGCGTACTGACATTTCTTCCTCTACGTGTGGAATCACATCGTTTGGTCTTTTAGCATATAGTGTATGGGGTATACATGATCACAATAGAGAAATACCACTTATTGTTTCATAATTAATCCATAGACAGAGTATGGAAGATTTAACTAAAATACCAGGCATTGCAAAATAAATGAGATAAATTGAAGTGTTTTTTTTAAATGAGTGGAAAGAATAAAGTATAACAAATTTATTTCTTCATCTACATTAGTGACAGTCCAAATTTACTCAGTTATTAAACAAAGATAGATGTATCTATAGATATATAGATAGACATAGAGACAACCATATATATTATTTAAAGAGGTGTATATAGCAAAGTTTATGAGGGAAATGTGAATCTTTCAGAGCAAAAAGTCAATAGATACTACCTAGAATTGATGCTAATCATAGTAAAATAATAATAGCTAAATTATTTAACTCTTTCTGTGCTAGGTCCTGCCCTACATCTATTACAGGTTTTAACTTATTTAATACTCAAAATAACCTGACTATTTAGCAATACTTTGCCTATGAAATGGATAAGAAATTGAAGCACAAAGGATTAGGCAATTTGCCCAAACCCGTGCAAAAGGTAGAAAGACCATGAGCTAGAACATACTATTTATAATTACAGTATGAGCCAGATGTGGTGATGCAGCCCCTGTAAACCCAGCACTCAGGAGGATGAGGCAGAAGGATCATGAATTCAAGGCCAGCCCAAGCTACATAGTGAGATCAAAGCTGACCTGAACTATATAACAAGACTATCTTTTATTAAAAGAATCGTGATTTTACAAATATTGGAGAAGTTTTAAAACACCATATGTTGAAGATGATAGTCTCCCAGCTGGGGGTGGTAAACAAAGTGAAGAGAAATACTTTTAGTTATTAATAAATACTATCTGACTAGTAAATGTTGGCTAACTGCCTGAAAAATTTAACAGGAAGAAAATTATATCAATGTGTACTACAAGGAAATAGTCAAGATGAAGAGCAGATTCATCATCTTCAACTTCTGAAAGGCTTCGTGAGAAGATGGGATCTGAGTATCTGGAAGGGATGAAGTCAAGGTCAGAGTACGGAAGGTACAGAGGGAGGATCCACTTCCCGAGAGATTTACCAGAGGAACTGTGCCCGGATGGGGGCGACCTAGCGGCCAGAGGACCACGCAGTGGGTGTGCGGTAGAGGAGACTCCAGCCCCAGATCAGGATCCAGTAGCTGTCATCTTGGTCCTTCCCCACCCTGAGACTCACATGTCTATCTTCACAGCGATTCCCGAATGTAAACCAGAATTAGTCTGAATCAGAAGCACCAGCACCAGTTTTAGCTCTGTAAAATACAGGAGATGCCCAAGGAGAATCAGCCAGTTTCAGTACTTCTGAAAAACAACATCTGCACATAGGTCTGGAAGTATCAACTGAACTTCTGTTGTAGAGAAAAGGTCCTCTCCTTCCCTTCCTGGATTTTGTTTTACTTTGTTCTCAGCCTCGGAGCAGCAGTCCACAGTGAGTGCATGGCTAAGAATAATCGCACCTCAGTAACTGAGTTCATCCTCATGGGCTTTACTGACCACCCCAGCCTGGAGACGCCCCTCTTCCTGGTGTTTCTCAGTTGCTATCTTGTCACCCTTCTGGGGAACGTGGGGATGATTATTCTCATCCAAGTGGACACCCAGCTCCACACCCCGATGTACTTCTTCCTGAGCCACCTCGCCCTGCTGGACGCCTGCTACACCTCAGTCATCACCCCTCAGCTCCTGGCCACACTGGCCATGGGCAAAGCAGTCATCTCCTATGGCCGCTGTGCTACCCAGTTCTTCTTCTTCACCCTCTGTGGAAGTACAGAGTGCTTCCTGCTGGCCGTGATGGCCTATGACCGCTATGTTGCTGTTAGCAACCCGCTGCTCTATACCGTGGCCATGAAGCCCAGAATCTGCTGGAGTTTGGTGATGGGAGCCTATGTCTGTGGGGTGTCGGGGTCCACCCTGCGAACCACGTGCACCTTCTCCCTCTCCTTCTGTGAGGACAACCGGATCAACTTCTTCTTCTGTGACCTCCCACCCCTGCTGAAGCTTGCCTGCAGTGACACAACAAACGCTGAAATCATCATCATCTTCTTTAGCAACTTTGTGATTTTGGCCAATGCCTTGGTCATCCTGATCTCCTACCTGCTCATCGTCAAGGCCATCTTGAAGGTGAAGTCTTTAGGAGGCAGGGCCAAGACTTTCTCCACATGTGCCTCCCACCTCACCGCTGTGGCCCTTTTCTTTGGGACCCTCACCTTCATGTACATACGGAGCAGCCCAGGCAAATCCCTGGAGGAAGACAAGGTTGTGTCTGTCTTTTACACTGTGGTCATCCCCATGGTGAACCCTCTCATCTATAGCCTGAGAAACAAGGATGTGAAAGCTGCCTTCAGGAAGGTCACTGGTAGATTCCAGGTGTCCCAGAGCCTGTAGACCTGAGGGAAAATACAATTTATCTCAAGCAATTTTGTTCTCATATCAATACATCCTAGTAGGCACCAGCACCAAATGCATCTTATAGTGATGAACGGAGGAAAAACAGAAAAGGATCAGCAGCCAAATGAACAAAGAAACAAGTAGTAAAAGGGTATCCAGCAATTCTCCAGAGTACAGTACTTTGTTCTTACCACCCTCTCCCACTTCTAGATTATTCCTGGGCACTCAACAGCCTCCTGCTAATCTTCGATCTCATTACTCATAGGATTTGAGGTCTTGAGTTTATTTCATCCTTCCCTAAATCTTGAGAACCTTCCCTCTGTCTTCACTCCTATCCCATTACTGTGTTCTCTGTATCAAAGATCATATCTGGGGATCCCTGTGATGGTGATGATTGACCTTTTTCCCCTTTTAATGTGTAAGTGACTGATCACTTCAATTATCAAGGAGTGTTGTATTAAAAAAAAAATTGGCTGTCAAGCTAGTCAATAGGAAGAAAAGCTGGTCAATAGGAACCGAAGGGGAAGGGGAAGTGGGAGGGGAAGGGGAAAGGAAAAATTATGAGGAAAAAGAAAAAATGGAAACAAAGTCTTTGTAAATAGGGAAGGGTGGAGGGAGTGAGAGAGCACAGGGAATGGGGAAAAAGTAAGAACCAAGATACATCATGTACAGATACAAGTACCCAATGATAAATGTAAACATATTGTGTACCAAAAATGTACCAATAAAAGAATTTAAGCAAAAATAAATTGCTTGTCTGACTGGCTGAAGGAAGAAAATGTTTTAGAAATAGGGCTCCTCTTCACAATTAGAGGTTCTTCTGCCTTACAGTATCTTGCTTCTCACTCAGGCCAGAATAACAATTTTCAAATGCCTTTCCACTTTATAATTCACAGCTTTGCAGCTCCTGCTTTATTGTTTTAGGTATTTGACCTTTGAGGAAGTCTTTTCCAGGGCCATCTCCAGCTTCTAGAGGACACAGTGCATTGCTTCTCTTCACCCGACTGCCTACATCATGAACAGCTCCACCTAGCAAGCGTCCTGCTTTGAGGAACAGTGATATTGAGGAGCAGGGACAGATGGAGGGAGACAGTGAACCACAGTGTACCTCCTCTCAGGATTTGATGAGAGAGAAAAGCAACTGGAACTCCTGTTTCAGACTGCAACACTTAAAGTCTTTGTTTCCTTCATTTCTAACTCCAAAGTCTAGATCAGATGAGCTCTCAGTAAATGCTTTTGAAAGGTTTTTTGTGTTGCATGCCTGGTCTCATTTGAGTTATGGCAACTCAGGGCAAATGGGGAAGACAAAGTGAAATACGGAATTTCTACTTTTGCAATTAAGAAAGCATGATTCAGAGTACTCCAACTATGCAGCAGTAGAAAGGCAGGGAGTCAGGCTTTAATCTAAATCTTGATTTTACCACCAATCCATTGTGAGACTGTGACTAAATAGTTCAATTTCTCAGGCCTAACACAAGTATGACAATTCCTAATCCAAGAAGATATTGTTAAACTTAAATAACATGATGAATAAGAAATCTGCTAGCACAAATCAGGGGTTCCGTAAGGATTATTCTCTTTCTTTTTCTTTCCCTCACTTTCTGATGTCAACCCAAGAATTTTGCCACAATATACATAGCCATTGAAAAACTGAAAACAATTATGAACTAATGATGGTGAAAAGCAATGAACTCAGAAAGAAGAACTCTATTCTTTGCACCCAGAAATAAACTTGCATGTTTCACGAAGCAATGAGGGTGAATTTATTTGCATTTCACATGCTCAAAGAGACCCAAAAGATGTCTTTTTCACTGAATGTATTGTTTTGTGCCCAATGAACCCCTATACCCTGCCTTGACTTTGTAAAAAGTTAATCCTCCTTGTCCCTCCTGATGAAAACAAACATTTTGGTAAAATGACCTACCACACATTCTGAAGCCAACTGATTCAGAAATAAACACACAACCCATGCTTAATAAAAATTTTCCAGGGGCATTACTAAGCTGAACGTGAAAGAGATTAGAACAGGAAGGCAGACTGACCATGGTAAAAATAAACAAATAGCTACTAAACCTATGGTAATTAGTAGTCAGGAAAAACATTTAAACCCACATTATGCTTAGTAAATTAGCAAAAATGAAAAAGGACTATAGCATCATGTTGACAAGAATATCCTTTTAAAATCAACGATAGTGCCGAGGAGCAGAGCTCCTCCACTGCTGAGGAGCTGAGCCTTTCGGGCTGCCATACCACCACCCTGAGCACCAAGAAGCAGAGCCCCCCACCACCCAGGAAGTGAGCTGGACACCAGCAGCACACACCCACCCCCTCATTGAAATGATAAGACACCTAAATAAATCCCAAAACCAGACTTCCAGATCACCTAAGGCAACCCCAAAGGGCAACCAGATGGAACAGTCTGATACTCAAGCACCTGTACTCCCTGACCTGGCAACAAAGGAAGACCTGGAAAAAATGAAATCAGAAATAATTTCTCAGATAACAGCAGAGATTGTGCCCATAGTACAAGACATGATGAATAAATCTAGAGCAGATATAGATAAAAAAAATAGAGAAGCTGAGGAACATGATGGAATCCCAACATAGGAAACAAATGGAATCCATAAAA